GCCAATTTATGTTTCGTGAAGTGTTTTGGCGAAACATTTTAATTCTTATTATTTTAAAAACTTAGACTAAAACTAGTAATAACAATGACAAGAGTGTAAATGTAGAAATAGCTATTCTCAAAAAGATTGTGTAGGGAAGAGAGAGAAGAGGCAAGCAGAATGATAACAGATTTGTACTCATCAAAGCTTTTGTGGGCAAAGTGGTTAATGTGACACTCATAAAAGATGTGCTCTCAAGGTGAGTGATACTAGTTCAAGTGTTGTTAGAAGTTACTTTATTTCTGAATTTGTGCTGTATACCCTCACAGTTGTGATAAAAAGCAGCAACCTTAAGATCCAGTAAAACTAGTAATGGCAACAATTATATGGGAGTAAGTTCTCTCAACCAAGATAAAAGTCAGTGGTCAGGAACTTAGTGAGCCAATTCAAACATCATTTGATTATCAGTGAAGAGGGCTCCAAAATGGAAATAATTTCAAATGCAGCACAAATTATGGCAGCTGACACAAAACTAAGAACCATTCTGAAAAGAAAAAAATCATCTGCCTTAAATCAAAAATCAGACTGTTATATGCACTGGCCTTCTCAGACTTTCTGCACACCTGCAAATCTTAGACATTAACAGCAGAACTACAGTGACAAATTCACTGTAGCATTAGAAAAGAGATGCTGTAAGAGCATCCTAGGCATCTCCAATGCAGACTTAATCAAAAATGATGCAGTGTGAAAAACCATTAAACAAGAAACATGCCAGTTGGAAGATTGCTTATATCCACCTTTAAGAAGAGAAAAGTAGAAAGGATATGAACATGTTAGAAGAACCAACAATGTTTCCACTGCCATCCTACACAGTTGCACTTTAGGTAAAAAAAGAAAGAATAGGCAGACAGGGGCAAAGATGGGCTGACAATGTTAGAGTGGACTGGAAGATCATTAACAGTGATTTAGACAATGGCACACAATTGAAGGAGATGGTCAAGTGCTTAGTCACCTTACAACCACACCCAGCCAGGGGACTCATGAAGGTGAATTTCATTCAGCTAGAAATTGACAAAGTGAAAACATTATTTCACAAAATATACTTTTAAGTTTAAATAAGCCAATAGAAATAATTTCTCAAGATCTGTCATCTGCAAAAACCTGGGAAATATATAACATTTCTCAAATGAATTTAACAAAACTATAACAATAAATCTCATCATAAATGGAAAGAACTGTTGAAAAATCACTGAACATAATTTTCTGGTATATCAACAGCTACACGGGTCATTTACCATATCACATCACTCATATTATGAAAAGAATACTGATCATATCTAAGTTAATAAATAATGATTTTATTTTAAACAGGGTATTTATTTTGCCATGTTTTTAGAAAGAGTTATGTTTTCTTTTCATAACAAATTCTGGATGAAGACAAAAAATCAACAAGAGACTTTAACAAGTTACCAAAAAATTGTGATTCTATTTATTCTTGAAAAAGTTACAAAATATGAAATCAAGCACTGTACAATATGGTCAGTGTAAAGAACAAAATTAGCGTAAACTAGCAGCATGGCCCGGCGTTGCCCGTGCTTGATTCAAAAATCGTACGACTCATACAACAATCGCTATCACTTGACTAAAAATATTTTTGCCCTTCCTTGCCTTTAAAGGAGTGTCCTTTGCCGTACTGATGTTGCTACATGCCTTACTTCTTGCCTATATCACACTGCGAATTTTTTCTAAGCTCTATACTAAACGTTAAATCTGTTACGAAAAAAGAACTAAACAAAATGAACACAAAACGATCAGTTTTAAAAAACGGACTCGTAACTGGAAAAACCGAATGAAAAAAGAATGTTAACAACAAATACTTTTTCACACCCAACCCAGTTCTGTGGAATCAGAATCAACATTGAGTTTAAGCAAGCGAATGAGCCAATTGGAGTAAAGTGCCATGCAGATTTAAATTTTTCCCACTTGTGACGAATGCAGCTATCGATTTTTTGCATGCTAGCATGCTAGTTAACATTCGTGTCACTCAGCTGTTGGTTCCTACGCTGGCCAATAGAATCTTCCCTCCTATTCGTGGCAGCCAGCAATAGGCTCTTACTCTGGCCAGTAGAAAATGGCCGCAAACTACATGTAGAAGCATGAAGAAATCGATTATTTCCACTATCGATTGGAGTCGGGAAATGCAAAGACGGTGTTGGTCTTCCCGCTAACTTGAAGCATGTGCATGTAAATTTTGGTGCAAATCCGTCGAAAATTGCGGCCGTGCATTCGAGTAAGTTTTGTAGTGATGTCATAAAATGTTTATGTTATATTTTTGAATAAATAATATTTGCTCTACTCTGTATTGAGCACTCTTTTAAGAATAGTATTTTTGGTTATATATATGAAGAAATATAGTTTTAAGGTGTGCTATATTTATGGGATAAAGTGCTCATTATCAAAGAGAGAGCATGTGTAAATATGTAAATATAAAAGTGAACATTGAAGTCAACACTCAGAGGCGACAGGCTGTTTCATTCTAGATGAGATCGTCAGGCCTGGCAATTGCGTCTAGCATGAAACAGCCTGTCACCTCTGAGTGTTGACTTCAATGTTCACTTATATATATATTCATAAATATAACATTATCAATACAACATGACAAAGACGATGTACATGTTGTATTGATAATGTTATATTTATGAATATGTTCTGAAGATGGTTTATTAGACCGAAACGTCCGACGTTGACATATTAACATTAAAACTGCATAATTGTATATAAGGATTTTTGATTTGTTTTTTCCGTATATATTTTTCTTCATACTGTCGGATCTATATCCATATATTTGCTTACATATATATATATATATACATGTCATAAATTTCAGCCACTTGTCAAACGAAATCACGCGTTTAAACGCCACCTATTGAAAAAATGCTACGAACTTTACTCCCAAACCAGTAATTATTTTAGTCTGAACCAGAAGTTCAATATATTTTGTTTACATTTCCGGTGGTGTATCCAATTGTAGACCCGTAGGAAACGAAACATTGTTATTTCATTAATGTGCATTTTTTCGATTTAAAACTTACTCGAAGTATTTTCTTAACCAGTTGTGTTACTCAAATGAAAACGGTTGTTGCTATGAAGAAAGCCAAATGATTGATATTCCTAAAGACTGAATAGGGATTCTGTGGTTATGTGATCAGAATACTTTATTACTTTGATTAATGCGTACGCGAACCCCGCACGCCCGCTGAATTCTTTTAAAACGATTCGAGCGCAGAAAAGATCAGGACAGAAGGCGTATAAAATGACGTCGAGGATTAAATCAGGATTTGAAAAAAAAGTGTCGGTAATGAGTTGCTTGTAAATTAGAACGAGAAAAAAAAATGGAAATTGTAATTCGTATTATTTAAGCGGGAAATCAGTTGGCTTCGAGAAGCGAACGAGAGAAGAGAAATAAGGCGGGAAAAATTGCAAATGAAGGGAAAAAATAAGCAAATGAAAGCAAGAGTTAGAAAACATGCTCAGAGAAATTGTAAATGGGATTTGTTTATTTTTTTGATATTGTGTCTTGTAAATTAGATTTGCCCCTCAGATACCTTATATAAATTTAAGAGAATTAAGGAGAATAGAAAGAAGCAAAAGCAAAAAATTGGATTGCTTTACATTGGTTAATTCCATGTCAACGCTTGTTTGGTTATTTAATGTCAAAAATCAGTTTCTATATAGTGCTTATAAAGTTATCATTTCGACCATCTGACACGAGTTGTCAAGTAATTAACTCAATGCGCAAAATAGTTAGAAAGAGCCTAAAATTTATACCAGGGTTTGAGGCAAGGCTTGGCGGTAAAACTGAATTGACAAAACTGTTTGGAAGCTGTAGATATTATGGTAGCACTATGTCAGGTCATCGAAACGGAGGGTTTGAGCATACAAGTCTTGTTCAACTACGTACGATGCCAGAATTAAGAGCAGTCTCCCAGGTCGACGCAGCATAGTTGTGGAATTACTACAACTTTTGCTCCTCTTAGTATTGGAGAGACACAAACACGCCTGTTATGGACATTTCTGCCAAGCAGCAACCAGCCACCGTGATATATACACACACACACACAAACACAGACATTTATATTTTAAGACAGTTTTATGTTTATACATCCATTTTATAGATAAAAATATTTAAGTAAATGCTCTATTTATAATAACCAGTATTAAACAACATTTACCGGCCTGAATGTCCGAGAAATTTTTATAGAAAATATGCGTCCTCCGAATTTGTATCTATAAAAAGAATGTATAAACATAAACGTGTCATTAAATAATTGTCGGACTTTGTCCATTTTATAATATATATATATATATATATATATATATATATATATATATATATATATATATATATACACCATCTGATATATATATATATATATATATATATATATATATATATATATATATATGTATAGGTGTTGCATTAAGCACTTTTTGAATATCCGTGTTTGAGCTGGAATTGTTCCTACCTACTCCCTATCTATCTATCTATCTATCTATCTATATATATATATATATATATATATATATATATATAAGAATCAGTCCAGCATTTGAGTCGGAAAATGCTGACGCATTGACGTTAGTTGAAATAGTCTTAACTCATGAAGTAATTTTGGATTTCTCTATTATATAATATATATATATATATATATATATATATATATATATATATATATATATATATATGTGTGTGTGTGTGTGCACCTGATCGCAATAATTGGCGTTACTTTGATGACAAAGGTGAGGGGGGGTACGCAAAACATAAATGTGATGAGAGATGTGCGTAAAGGCGTTCCCGGTTGAAGTTCCTGAAGGCAGCCGCAAGCAGCTCGATCTGACGTCTACAGATTGTAGTAGAGTGTGTTTGTCGATGGTTGGTCTAAGGAGACGCCTGAGATTGAACAGACGGAAGGTGGCAATTGACTATAAAACCGTAGACGTCCAACAATTGAAATATTTGT